ATAATTGAAAATGTATTCTGCAGACAGAATTTTTGAAGACTGAATGCCAAGAAGAGAGAGTCAAGGGAACTCAGCCGAGGTATAGTGAGTCATCGGCCCCCTCCCAACCATTTATACATTGGTAGAGCCAAACTTTGCAATTTGGTTGTGTCAGAGAGTTCTTTTACGGCTTCTCCAAAATGTAACTGCAAATTTTCCATTTAGCCTGGTTTGGCACCACCATCCAAATTGTGCAAAGTGATCAAAGAGCCTCTGCCTCTGATCTGGACACTCAAGTGACCCCAGATGCTTTGCTTGGTCCCCATTGGCACTAGTGGTTCCAAGGCAGAGGAGCATATGGTCCTGCAGTCCCAATACATTTCTTTCCTGGTCAGTTAAGACCAACTCTCACCTGCCAGGTTGCAAGTGACTAAAACACTCAGGGGTCACTCCAGGGGAACTGGGCTAATTGGGCTCTTGTGAGGAGGACATGTGCCCCGTGCTCTCCACACAAGAGACAGAAATACCTTTTTCTTTGGGGGTGCTGTGACAGCTTTTCTGACCTTAAAGGTCTGCAGAGAGAGAGAGAGAGAGAGAGAGAGAGAGAGAGAGAGAGAGAGAGCGCCTGAGTGCACAGGCTGAGTGCACTGCTGACCCCTTTTATTGAGGAGAAGCTATTCAAATGAGGCAAGGGGTCAGGTGTCAATGGGGGCTGAGTCTAGCTTCATGATGTCTGCTGTCAGCAGGTTGACTGGCTTCTAGGTAGGCCACACCCAAGCACACAGTAAGAGAAGGGGACAAACAAAGCATGTTTCCAAGGAACAGTCTATTCTAAACAGGGCAAGGGAGGGGTAATATTACAAAGAAACAGGTGAGCATAGCTCCACTCATGGGGATGTAGGAAGACACAGTGGCTTGCATCTGGGGCTATTCAGATCACAGTGTGACCCTGACCAAAGGATGCCACACTGGTCAGGAGGGGGGAGTCAGACAGTCACACATGCTACTCAGCCTCCTACACTCACCCTGTCCCAGAGGCCACTTCCTTTTAAGAAAGTGCCACATAGAAACAGGGTGCTCTACCCAGATGTTGGGGCTGGTGAGGGCAGACTTTCCCAGGAAGTTCAGTCATTCCTGTCATGGTGGATAATTCACCTTGGTCCTCTTCTGAACATCATTCTTTGCTGTAAGAGGATCCCCCTTGGGATCAAGGCTGTGGTGATGAAAGGGCAGGACATGGAGTTATGAACTGAAGTTTACTTCCTGGCACTACATAAGGGTCACATCTAAGCTTCCTACCCACCATTCCTACCACAACTTTTTATCTGCAGTTAAAAGCAAAGGCAGATATGAGCTCAGCCTGAGTGAGCTCTGTTGTCAGTGTACAAAGCTTTGTCGGTCTGGAAGGAGAGGTAGGAGGTGGGATGAGGAGCAGGAGGCAGTGCAGGTGTGGGCAAAACCTGGAGGGCAGGTATCAGCAGGTTTGACCTTGGGGCAGGCCATGAAGCAACAGCAGCAGGATGGATAGGGGAGCTTTGCCAGGTAGATCGGGTAGACGGAGCACAGTCTTTAAGTCCTCAAATTTCAAGGTGAAGACAGACTTAGTCCAGTGCCTAGCAAGGAGCCAGACTTTGAGTAGGTGACATGGATCAATGGAATGGTTTGGGAGAAATCAATGAAACAAACATATTTGGTGGTGGTGTAGATGGGCTATGAACATCATCTGTAATGTCCACCAGAAAAGGAAGGGAAACCTAAGTCGGAGAGGGATGTAGGAGAGGAAAAAGGGGTGTGGATTTTGGGAACTTGGGAAAGACTTGTCATCACTGGATGTCTGAATGCAGAGGAGGTAGGGGTGGCTTGTGGAAAACTGTGAGATTCAGGAAAAGGATGGGTCAGGGATGATTCTAAGCATTCCTGCCCCTAATTCAGGACTACCTGGGACTTCTCTAGCCTAGAGTGACATCTTTCTTATATAATAACCTTCATTCAATACACCCTTGATATTTGATAGCTATAGGTGTACATATCTATTACTTAGCTGTGGATAAATCTGACTTCTTTTTCTAGAGCATCACCCCCACCCCCCACCTCCAGTATCCCATATGTTTTCACCATGACCTTGTAGAGCAGGAAAATATTGCTTTTCACAGTGGCTGAGGAAAATTAAACATGTTGCTGCAAAAGACTGTGGAAAACGTGTTTGTCCAGCATAGGATTTATGGGGCCAGAGTACCAGGATGTGATTCCATAGGAACAATAACCATAGGGCATTCTCATTTATCCCAGAATGCTCAGACACTGTATTATCCATGTGCCCCATGTCCTCCCAACCTGTCTGAGTCATTTCCCTGAGCCAGGACATATGGGAAACCACAAATCAAAACTTGCTACTGCTGGTTAGAAACTTTGGTTTAGAAAGACAAACTGGATAGGGGAATTTAAAGATGAAAATGAAGTTCAATGTTCAATGATCTCTGCTTTACACAAAAATCACAGGAGCACTAATAACCAAAAAAGGAATAATAAGCAGAATGTGGAATTCAGCTCTGAGCTAAGAACCCTCACACTTTATGAAATTATCCAAGTAGTTATAGGGCACCACTGATATCTTTGAGAAACTCATCACAGTAGCATAAGAGAGTCACTTTGAAATTTAGTTCTACCCTCACCTTTCTACATAACATAGGGTCAACCTTGGCTCTCAGTCAAAGTGCACTTCTTCAAAAAACATTCCTCTGGAACTACTGGTTTGGTTATATATTCACATGTGGTGAACTATTTTCTTTCTTTTCTGGTTCTTATTTGTGTGTGTTTGTGTGTGTGATATTGAAATTGAATTCAAAGGTGCTCTACCACTGAGCTATATCCTATAGCCCTTTTAATTTTCTATTTTGAAAAAATAGGGTCTTGCTATGTTGTCTAGTCTAGCTTTGAACTTGAGATCCTTCTGCATCAGCATCCCATGTAGCTTGGATTACAGGCATGTACTTCCGCACCTCACCTCAGGAATTTTCAACAGCAATTTTGACCATCCTCAATTTTCTTGTTTTGCTTTGACTTTAAAGTCTAACTACTATGTTAAGACACAACTCCACTATGCTTCCTGAGCATCATAAGGTGGTAGTTATGGACTAGCCAATATTTAAGCTAATTTAGGCAATACTCTGGGTTAAGGAGGGGTTTGGGATCATCTTGTATGCATAAATATCTCAGCATAAGATGCAATCCATGAACCTGCAGGGTTCCACCTCACGTGGGTAGATGTTAAAGTCGTTTGACTAAAACCAAGTAAATCAATTGAGAATTAAACAACTTATGTCCCAGTAGCTTAACTATTAGGAAGGAGAACTGAGACCATCTGTGTCAATATAATTTAACTCTTTGAGAATCTTCTTCCCAGAAAGTTAAGACAATAAGCTTATAAGTGGATTCACTATTTACTGCAGGAAATTTCTACAAAACAACTTGTCCTGACCAATAGTTTGTTCGATGGAGAGAAACAGCCCACTTACTAATGATTTACTTGCCAAGACTCGCTTCAAGAACATTGCTTTGTGCTATCCACCAATTCTAAGCTATTATGTCACAAATTTCCCTGAAATCCAATCAGTTCTCTGCCTTGCAAAATGCACCTTAATTGATTTGGGCCTAGATCTCCAAATCCTATAAATATGCCTCCCAGCTGCCACTTGTTTATACACTAATAAGAGTGTCCTATGTAGGTCCCCTGATTTCAGTAATGAACTTAGCTTTACTCTATCAACATGTTCTTTGATTAATTTTTGTATAGTCAACAGCTGACATAGCAAATCAGTTCTGGTCTCTTGGAAACAAATAAGACTAAAGACATCCTTACAGCCCTTAAATGTTGGGGTAATTATTAAACACAACCACTTCCCAGTAATAAAGTTTCATCATTGTTCCTCCTCTGAAGATAAGACCTGGTGTTTAGAACACCTACCTGTTACAGATTTCAAATACACATTTTATCTCCATTTTTCTTTTGCTTTTTTTTACATGATTCTGTATCTTCTAAATTTTCTACAATGAGTTAATTTGAGAATGAGTTAAAGAAAACAAAGCAAAGAGCCTCAAGAAAGGAATTAATCCTCAAGTATAAATTAGAAATGACCAAGTTTTAATGAAACATACACATACATACAGCATGTGTGTATATATATAAAATATCCATATACATATATAATAATACACATATATAATATCCATATTAAATCTTAAGCTAGCATAGTATACACACAATATAGATATACATATATGTATACATATGTGCACACAAATGAAAGCTTGCTACTGGTGGTAGCAACTAGTATATATGTATGTACATATATGTTCATACACACATGTATATATACACATACACACACATATATAATACTTATTTAAAATCTTGTTAAGCTAAGAAGGCAATTTAATTCCATCAATAAGATACAGAAAAGTTGTATAGTTTAAAACTGCTGCATAGCTCTCTTTCCTTATCATAAGAAACCTTGGAGGTGTTGGATAAAATACATCATCAAACAACATTTAATCAGTCCAAAGTGAGGCCCAGGAATCTGTGGGTGTTGTGCTTTTTGTTTTCAGGTTTTTTTTTTTTTAAAGCACTTAATTGATTCATACAGTCAATCAAAAAGGTAGAACACACAGGTCTACAACATCAATACACTGGGAAGCCAAGTTTAGCTTTTGTCATAAAATCTCCCCAACTGGAGAAGGAAAAGCTGGGCAGTTAGCAAAGATCCCCTCGAGTATCTTACACAGTGTGGTATCTCTCTGTGCCTGAGTCCCGTGCCTTTTTGGAGCACTGAATCACAAAACCCCCAACCTGCTATAAAACGCGGTAACAACCCCGCGGCTGCGCTCAGGCAAACCCAGCTGGTCGGAGCTGGCTCAGGGAGCAGGCTTCCGCCTGCAGCTGCACAGAGTGCCTGCAGCTCCCGAGGCAGCAGGCAAAGGGAGCAGGCTGCCCAGCGGAGATCCCAATCGGGGCTTCCTTTTACCTTAAAGAAACTTCCTCGCTTGTCCAGACCGCGGGCGCCCATGGTCCAAGCTGACATTTCCCCCAGCGAGGCTCTACTGCATGCCGGGGACTCCTGAAGGTACAGACATTTTTAATGGTTAGCCCAGCCTGTAGGAAATTCCTTTCTAAGCCACAGAACACTCACAACAACAGTCCTGCCAAGATCTTTTTCCGTCAACAACACAGTGCCATTTATTTCCCACCAAAGCCCTTACATCTCCTTTCAGCCTGATTTCCTGCCATGGCCAGCACTGTTCCTAGACCGTGCCCCACCTCGCTGCCCCACCCCCTCCTTCAGCAGCTGACGTAGAAGGTCCGTAGGACTGTGGAGAGCATAATGATTGCTTTGTGTGTTTGCTTGACCTCCCGATAAAGTCCTAAAGGGACCAATATTAGATGTCCCCCTAATCTGCTCCGAAAGCTTATAGATTTAATGTGGCTGATCACAAAGGGACAGGGAAAGAAAGAGGTTCCGTATGTCCCAGGAAATCCTGCTGGAAGGGGATGAGGTCATTGTTAGTTCTGATTAGCCCTTTCCCCTCTAGGCAAGGTCAGCAGAAGGGCACTAGGAAGAAATTCCTGTTTTTTCCTTAGAGATCAGAAAGCCTGGGATGCGATCCTGTGTCACTGTTTAAGGAGATCAGTTTGTGTATGGTGACAGTATGTAAACAGTGTCGTGGATCAACCAAGGAAGGTGGGAGTTCACTATGGAAAATTTAAAGGCAGCATAACAACAGAGTCCTGAATCATCATGTCTATTTGAGCTTGGAATTTCCCCTGCTGGAAACCTATAATCCTTTCCTCTGGACCACAAAGCCTTCAACCTTCACTTCTAAGGTATATACAAATGGACCTTGGGCAGCCAAAGTGGCCCGGACCAGCATGCATTGAGGAGGATGGGAGAGAACCCCAAACTTTCCTCATCCAGTGAAGCTGTATTAGGGCTACACAGAAAATTGCCCTCCACCTTCAGCATCACTTCCTGCCACAACATGCACAGGATATAGCTCATCCCAACCATAACTAACACAATGGAATGACAATAAAGAAACTAGGAAGTGAAAAAACCTCTTATACTATTAAGGATTTTTACATTTTTTTTTCCAGTGCTGGGGATCAAACCTGGGACTGTGCACATACTTGACCAGCACCCTACCACAGCGACTACCTCTCTAGTCTGGCCATTAAGGAATGTTGAAAGTGGTTCAAGCTGGGAGTGGTAGTACACATGCCTGTAATTCCAGCTTCTCTGGAGCCTGAGGCAGGAGAATTGCAAGTTCCAGGCTGGCCTGAGCAATTCATCCAGACCTTGCCTTAAAATAAAATTGGAAAAGGGCTGGGGGTGTAGCTAATGTAGAGTACTTTAGCTACAGTCCTGGGTTTAAAAAAAAATCTCAGTTAAAAAAAATCATTAAAAGTGGTTCACTTTTAAAAGTGTGGAGTGGGGAGGCAGTAAATTGAGGCAGCTTCTTTCTCTGCAGGTTTACTGGGGCTGTTTCTTTATGAGTTGGGACAGAAGTACTACAGGGACATTGAAAGTGGCATTAGGGATGTTTCAACAAGTGGAAAAGCTTAAAATCACTGCACAGAAGTGCATGTGCATGAGTGAGCAAGAACCTTTGCAGATAGACTTGTTTGGCCCCATGAGTCACATCGACAGTGAGCTGTGGATGACCTGTGCATTAAATCTCTTTTAGGAAAAAATAATAACAGTGTACACCTACCCCTGCTTCCAAACCTTTCACCTATTTGAGACATTGCTCCATGGTTCGGTCACTTTAAAGGGTCAGCAGTGTCTTCCCTGTGTTTCTTTCCACTTGCAATTGCAATGGGATGAAGGCCAACACCCCAAAACCTCCTGAGAAGGTGGTGAACTTCTCCTGGGAATCTTGCTGACTCCAGAGGTTCAGATTCTCGGCTCAGCATCTGAATAGAACCCAAGCTCCAAGACCTTTGAAGTTCATCCCTCATTAGCAAAGTCCTCAGATTGGAGCCACTCCAGAAAGAAAACACAGCGCTGTGTTCAGAGCTAAGAGCAAGATGAAAACCTTGGGAAGCAAATGATTAACTGTTTAGCCCCAGAAGCACAGAATTTTTTTTTTTTTTTTTAAAGCTGCTTTAAACCAAGCCTAAATTTTGTTATCCTTCTTTCAGACATTTTCTCGGCAAGGGATTCAGCAGCCTGGCAGTTTAGGAATGGCGAAGTAAGGGCCAAGGCTTCATTCCTCATCAGGACCTAAGTTTTCTTTGTTCGGTTCTGAAGTTTTCCATCTTCAAACCATTTCTGATGAGCCAAGACAGGCAGGGAATTTTGCCGACAGCAATGGAGCAGTTTGGATTCCAAGAAGTTCACCAGTTTTAATAAGCATCCGGATAACGGCATGTGCATACTTTAAACCTCAAGTAGTCCTCAGTTCCTACCTCCAGTTTGGATTCCTACACGGGACAGGCAGATGCATCATATTTCTTTAACTGATGCAGGTGGCATCTGCCCTTACTAACAGGCTGCTCCAAGGTGGGAGTTGGGCACAGGTGACAGGAACACACTGTAAAGTGCCACAGCAGAACAAAAAGAAATGGAAGCTAAGAATGGCTCCGGAGTCCAAGCAGAGGGTACCCGCACAGATGATGATGATTTTAAATAAAGATCTTAACCCAGGAGAAGTTGTGATTTACAGTCTTTCCTGTTGTCGTAATAGTTTCCTCCCAAACCATAACCTCCAACACCTGGGCTCAACATTGATAGCAACGTCAATTAAAGCACCACCTCAACTCCCTTCCACTTCTGGTCCCTGTCCCTCCCCGCAGATGTCACCCAGCAGTTGCATCCTAAAACCGCCCAGTAACAGCTGGACTAAAAGACAAAAATGTACCGTAGTTTGAGAGGCTGCAAAATTCCTCCAGATTCAGACTGGTGAAAACTTTTCCTGATTTCCTTGAAGAGTTAAGCATCAAATTCTTGAAAAATGAGCCCAGCATGTCCAGTGATCTTTCCAGATGCTAGCTAAACGCTAGCAAAAAAAAAAAAAAAAAAAAAAAA